CTGGGAGTCACCAAGGGGCCCCAGGGCTGGTTTCAGAGCCCGGTTTAGCCAGACCCTGGGGTGGGAGGAAGCCCCCCGGGGCTGGGGTGCGATGCCCTGCCGCCGTCGTGCAGCCCGCTCCTGCCGCACCATCACACCCCAGCAGCAGACCTGGGCCACTCTGCCCCATCCTCACGGGGCTTTGGTGCCTGGAATTACTTACCAACAGATTGTAGAAGAGACATATTTACTTAATAAATAAATACAAATAACATACGGCAGGTACTAGCAGGAACTACAGCGATATTCACGTTGTGAGGGAAGCTGGGGTGCCCAGGGCGTGGAGATTTGGCTAACGCTGGTTCAGCTTCGTACACCGAGGATATTGGCAATCATCGAACCCTGGCATGTGGTAACGTGACTGGTGGTGCGATCTGGAATTGCTCAAGGGTGTATTAGAAGCTACATACTTAGATGGGTAAATACGTTAATACAGGGCATCCAGGGAGGTTTTGCCTTGGCATGACCAGGGACAGGAAAGCGTGCATCTCTCTGGTAACCAGGGTGTCCTCGGGGTGCCCTTGGCCACATCTTGGGGTGCCGGTCATGGCCATGGCATGCACTGACCGATGGCAGAGGGTGGGGGGACCCGGAGGACCTTGGGAGGGTGTTGGGGCTTTGCCTCTCATCCCTGCAAAGCCTCGTGTGGAGTGCAGGAGCTCTGCTTTGTCTGGTTTTCATAGAATCATAGAATCACAGAACGGTTTGGGTTGGAAGGGACCTTCAAGATCATCCAGTTCCAACCCCTGCCATGGGCAGGGACACCTCCCACCAGCCCAGGTTTTGGTAAAGCCTTGACCTAAAGCCCGCAGCTCTAACATTTGGCTCTGTGGTACTAGCCAAAAAGAGAGAGAGCGAGGGAAAAGGAGGAGGCAGCGGGTGGGTTTTGGGGTTTGGGTGTCTCTGGCCTCCCGGATGGGACCTAGTCAGCCGAGACGGGCAGCGGGAGGAAGAGGATCGCCTTCTGGCCATAGTGAGTCCGTGGCCCCAGCTTGCTGTTCCCGTTCTTCTTCAGACCAACAAACCAGTTCTTGTCCGCATGCTTCTTGGAGGTGTAGGTGTTGTAATGGTTTTCTTCGATCCTTTCCAGGAACAGGCACTCCTCACCCAGCAACTGCTGCAAGAGAGACCCGGGTGATGACAATGAGATGCTGTAGGGACGAGGATGCCTGTTCCTAACGCAGTGATCCCAGCTCAGCGCTCCTGGGATGCTCCTCAGACCTGCCTTGGAGAGCTTTGTGCCCTGGTAAAGCTCATATTTAAAGTGTGGAGGTAAGCAGAGCCTTGATATAGTCCCCTGGGCTTCTCCTGCAGTGACTTGTCCATGACTTGGGCATTTTATCCGGCAGTAACCGAGCCCAGTCCCGTGCTCCGTAACCGGTCCTGGCCCCGGCTCCTGCTCTGCCACCAACCTGTGCGGTGGCGGCTGTGGACTCAGGACATGAGCCCAGGGAACAAAACAGCTCTTTGGTGAGGCTGAGCAGCCCATGACTGGGATTACGTGTCACGCTGTGCTATAATGGGACTATTCTCAAAGAGCCAGGTTATTTTTGGTGACTCCATGCCCCACAGTTCCTGGGCATGGGGGGGTAAGCCCCTGGTGTGCCTGATCCTGCGTACACCAGGATGTCAGGGACACTGTCCCTGCCTCCGGCACAGGGCTTGGTGTGACCAGGTCCCCCCACGGCCCCGCTGGCAGCTGCCGTGGGGATGCAGAGCAGCTGCTGCTCCAGATATGAAATATAATATTTGTCAAGTGTTTGTGGCAGGGTGGTAAATGGTGTTTTTGGGTTATTTATTTATTCCCCCCCAAAATAAAGGCGGCTGGAGAGTGGCCATCCAGCTCCCAAAATACCAAACAGAAGCTAATTGTTGCCTGCGGTTTGCATTACTCAGAGCTACGAGATTTCTGCAAACCTCAACCCCTCTCCGTGTCCTGCCCCACGTAAACCTCCCACTCACCGAGCCGTAGAGCAGCCCGTTGGGGTCCATCGCCAGGTACTGCCCTGACTGGGTGCTCTTGATGTACACCTCTCCCACGCTTTCTGCGCTCAGCTGGAGCTGAACTGAAGGGGAAAATAAAACAACAACAACAAAAGTAAAAGAAAAATGGGAAATGGGAAAAAAAAGATTGTCAGAGACAATGTAGAAGCTGCTAGGAAAGTTAGCTGGGTATTTCTGTTCTGAAACCCGGCTTATAAAGAGTTTATAAGAAACAGTGCAGTGCATAATAAAAGTGTCTCCTTGTACCCTCTCCTTCAAAGAAAGCCCACAGCCACGCTTTGGGAACCAAAGACCAGTTTTTTCCTTATTTTACATCAAAGGAAGGGCAGCCTTTTGGTTAAGAGGCTGGAATGGGACACAGGAGATTGGGGTTTTAATTCTGGCTCTAATTTACAAATTTCTCATGTGGTTTTGACAAGACACTTAAGGAGTGACATATGAAGAAGTATTTCAAGGGCTAAACCAGGGACGGGCAGATGTCAGATGCCTGCATTGCAAAACCCGTCTCCAAAGTTCCCCATCCAGCAGCGTGCCGGGGCTGGTGTTATCTGGCGCGTTGTAGGCGGATAGTGGAGAAATAGAAAGGGCTGATCTTCATCCTAAAAAAATACCTCCCGGAGGTAGCCGTGAGCCACGTGAATTTGATACTAAACCAAGATCTGAGCCTGTGCCCAGTCTGGGCAGGAGCGATGGGTTCGGGGTGATGCTGCACCGGTCCATGCAGCCCACCAGGCACCGGCTTTCTGTCCCCGTCCCTGATACTGGACTTTGGCTAGAAACTCTGGGGCAAAAAAAGCTCCTTTTTGGTCTTGTACTGTGGGAGGGGTGTGGGTCAGTGGCAGGGCGGGGAGTTTGGGCCACCCCCTCCTCTGCTCAGCATCCTCACCTAACACAGCAGGTTTTACCTTTCTGGTTGTCTTGTTACTTTTTTTCCCCCTGTGGCTTTTTTTTTCTCTTTCTTTGCTAATTACAGAAGTCTTGGAAAAGGATTAAAACTTGGCTCAGGTTCTTCTTTAACATATTCATCAGTAAAAGCCAAGCGAAGAGGCTTTGGGAGGATGGCTCTCAGGCACGCTGTGCTCCGAGGGGACCTGGACGGCTGTCACAGGTGGGCAGGGACACTGGGTCTGAGCCATTAGTGTCCCCACCCGCATGTGCAGAGGACTGTGGTTATCGTCGGGGTGACTTGCAAAATCCACCTCTTCCCAATAATCATTCCCATCTCCCAGTCCACTTTTTTTCCTGAGCTTTAACCGTAGAGACTTGTAACAAAACTATTTGGGCTGGTTTGAATGAGGTACAAATGGATGCCTCAGCTCCAGCTCCTTCCTTCCTTTTAAAATTCATTTTATTTTATCCTTATTTGGAGGAGGTAAAAGGTAATGTTACCTCTTGGCATGGTAGAAGCCCCCATCCCAGTGAAATCTTTGCTGGAATGGTTCACATTCTTCATTGTTGCTGTTTCCTGCTCAGCAAGTGATGGTTCATTAATGAATCGCGTGGGTTCACGCTGGGTTCGGGCTGGGAGCCGGCAGCCAGCAGAGCCCATGGCAGGAGAACCTCCCTGTGCTACAGCCCCAGGACGTGGCCAGGGACAAGCCCAGATGGGGAAAGAGAGAACATGATAAAAATGATCCTGCTGTCCTAAAAAACTGCCTCTGAGAGAGGGGAGCTGCCAATGGGGTGTTAAGGTCTCGGCCATAGAGGGAGGAAGAATGGTCTGTCTGGAGAAAGGAGCTCAGGCATGAATTCTTGCATTTTTTTACAGGTCCATACAGATGTTCCTGGGCTGAAACAGAGAAAATAAGGCTGTTTGTGGAAATGAGCGTGGGCGTCATCCTCCGGGGTTTGCAATGTCTTGGTAAGCTTTGTTTTCATTTCCCGGTGATGCCTGCGCAAAGCTCGAGATGCCCACGCATAGAGCAAAGGATGTGGGGAGGGAACTGCTCCGCAGGGATGGATGGGGAGGGCTTGGAGTGGGTGATGAATTCTGTTCTCCTTAGAGACCCTCCCCGATTCAGGGGCTGGCCCCTGGCAAGGTGATTTAAGGGGAAAATAAGAACTCTTGACATTTGACTGGAACAAAAGGCACCTGGGCAGTTTGCACAGCATTGATGCGGGTGCTAATGCAGCCGTACACGCTGGATGAGCCACGGGCGTTCCTGTGCCTTGTCCTTCCTTGGAGAGACCCTCTCCCTGCTGTCACCTCCAGGTTTCCGTATGGATCTGGCTTGCTCCAGCCGTGTCAGCGGCATCCCACAGTGCAGGTTGTGGTCCTGGCTGCTCCCATCCCATGCCAGCGAGTGGTGCTGAGCTCCGGCGTTGGGCAGAGGCAGGACCACGGGCACTGTCGGGGCTTGGAGGCAGGGCACTTCACCGGCATGGCTGCTCCGCTGGCACACAGCCCTCCCAGGAGTTCCCTCTGTAAATATTTGTACGTTTGGATATCCGAGTTTACGAGATCATTTGCAGGAGGTTCCTGTCTGGCACAGGTTCCCAAACACGCGGCCCCCGGCCAGCAGCCGGCAAGGTGCGAGCGTGCCGGGGCGCCGGGCGCAGGAGTGCTGCCTGCACTCGCTGCCTGCACTTGCTGCCTGCACTCTGCTGCCTGTGTGCATGGTGTGGCTGTGGAGACCAGTGGCCAGAGGGGAAGGGCTCACTCCCAGGTGATGGGCTCGCTTTGGCGGGGGGAAAGGGCGGGGCGGGGTGGTGGCTCCCGTGCCGTGAGATGGTGGGCTCCAGGCTGGGGTGCAGGGGCTGGACACTCATGTCCCAGTTAGCACCCCGTGTCCTCATTAGCACCCCATATCCCAGGAGATGTCACCTTGCCGCTGGCTCTGCAAACCCTTGCCGCGCTCCCCACGGCACACGGCATCTCTGCGTCCCCCGTCTGACTCCAGCAAAACCTCAGCTCTGGCAAAACGCGGCAGAGATGCCTGCTGAGCTCTCACAACCCCTGCAGCAGCCTGTCCATCCTGGGAGCCTGGTCTTGTCCTCTGCAGATCCCTTGGGTCAGCATCCTCATCCGCTCTCGCAGCGCTTTGGGAAGGGCTGGTGCAGGTTTACTCCAGGCTGGAGGCTGCCGGCCCCGCGCCGTGTTTATCCAGGTGAGCTCCTCCTCGCCTGTCCCCCCACGCTGCTGCACTCTGCTTGAGTGGTGGGGAAGCGGCGTTTACAATGCAAATGCTGCTATAAACTGCCTTTCATCAAAACAACAATAACAAGAAGAAAGGTTAAGTTTGGCAGAGAAAGCCACATGGGTGCTTGTGGCTTAAAGAAAACAAAAGTGCTTTTCTTAGCACTTTGTCAAGCAAATGTGGCTCCTCCCTGTCCTTCCTTCCAACCAGATAGGAGCCTGGCAGGTCCCGGTTATACTCCAGGAAATGTTCAGGATGTGGTGTGCCCAGAGGTTTCTGCCCTGATCTGAGAGCTCTGGTGCGTGGTGGTGGGAAGAGCCCGGCCTCGCCGCCCGCGGAGCCCTGCGGGGAGGTTTGCTGCCGGTCCAGTTCTCCTTGAGCATCGGTTTAACAAACCCCTCGAGCATTTTGGAACTGCAATAGCCCGAAAAGCTTAAAACTCCCAAACTTCCCAACTGATTCCTTGGATTTTGTGTCTTTGTCCATACACAGCCCAAGCTTTGCGTGGTTTGGTCAGGGCAAAGAGAGCCTGAGTGTCTCAGCTTGGCGCTGGTCGTGTGAGTATAGTCTGGTATAGTTAATAATATTCATTTTTTATATTACAGTTTGCCCTCCATCAGAGAGTCTGCAGCACTTTATAACAGCAGCATTTACAACATCGGCGCTTTATGGCGAGCGAGTCCTGCCAGCTTCTCAGGGCGAGATTTTATGCCAATTAGGGAGAACGAACATGCTCCTGGAAAGGCAGCGGGATGTGCAAACGGTTGGACAAGTGTTGGCATTTGTGTGGGCTGTTCATCCCAGCAGCAGGTCCCCAGTGTCCCACGGGCTGGGAGCCCCCAGGAAATGGGGACAGGCAAGAGGAGCCTCATTGGGCTTTTGCATCCTGCAGAAATTTTATTTGCTACATAAGGGGAAAGGGAAGTTCCCCAAAGGCGAGGGGACACTACATGCAGGACATACAGATAAAACTCATTCCCCATGCAGGGGGATCAGGGCCTGACCTCCCGCTCTGGCCGAGGGATTCCCGTGCAAAGCAGCCCAGCTGGAGCGTGCTGCTGGGAAACATCGCGTTTGCACAGCTCACTGCTGCGCTGCATCGTCCAACCCAGAGTAAGTGCAGAGATACCCCCGCACCATGCGCGATGGCTGTGTGTGTAGGATGAGGCTGCTCC